TCCTTCACAACACAATTGTTAGGATAAAATTCAACTGAGACATGGTTATCAAATGTAAGCTTGGAAACACTTATGAGATTCTTTCTGATTTTAGGCACATGTAGTAGTTTATTTAAAGCAAGTCTTTTACCTGTTTCAATATCAAAAAACTTTGAGCCAACATGTGAAATTTGTAGTGAAGTGCCATTACATACAATCATTTTTTCCTTACCTCTATATTCTTTTGCTTCAACAATGTTGTCCTTATCAGTAGTTACATGGTGGCTAGCTCTAGATTCAACATACCAGCCATGATCCTCAACTGAGCTTAGATTTGTAATGTAAGCAGATGGATGACGATTGGAAGTCTGATCAGTAGGCCTTTTCCCATAAATTTTTCATCAAATCTGTTGTAGCACCATGCAGCAATGTGAGTACTCAGCTCACATATCTGACAAGGATTTCTTGTCTCGTTTGTCCTTCCAAACTTGCCTATGCCTTTACTTCTTGTTCTTCCTCTGAAATTTGAGCCTCTAACACCTCTGTTTCCTCTTCCATTGTATGAATTTGTATTCTGGAAGTTCTTTTGAGTGATATTGATTGAACCAAAGTTGGTTCTAACTTGGCTGAGGTATTTCAGTCTGCTCTTAAATGTTATGAGTATGGAGGATAGCTCAATACAAGAAATATGTTCCTTGTTGTTGACTTGCACCACGATTGGAGTGTGCTCTTCATCAAGCCCAGCTAGGACCTGAGTTACCAAGTCAATATGTTCTATTTTTTTTTCCTGCTATTTCAAGATTATCAGCAAGCTGCTTGACAGTGCTGAGATAGTGGTCCATAGACATGGACCATTTCCTCATTCTTTGTAATTTAGATGTGAGAAAGGTCACTCTAAACCTATTTAGGATTCCATAATTCTCATTTATGACTTTCCACAGTTCACTTGAGCTATTGCAGCCCATAACACACATCACAATGTCAGATGTCATCAAGGAATATAACCATCCCATTAGTAATTGGTCAATAGACATCCATCTAGAATACTCAGGACTAGGGAAAGACCTAACCATGACTCCCGTCTCAGTTGAGATCTAAACATCTATAGTCTGAGGGGGACACTCATTGGTGCCCAGTAAATATCCTTCTAAGCCATGACCCTTACAGTTGGCATTATAACATTTTTCCAAAGCAGGAAGTTATCTCTGTCAAGCTTGATAGAGGCTCCTTGAGTCAAGTTCATTCCAAAGGGAGTAAAATTACTTCCAAGAGTTGGAACTTGAAGTGGGCTAAGATTTGTGGTGTCTGGGTTTGTGGAGCTTGAGTCCGATACAGGGGGTAATACATTAGCCATGATTTTGGCTCTGATATCAAGATAAAAAACAGAAAATTGAAGATGATGAAGACGAATTTGAACTCTTTATTACTTGAATTTTCAATATTTTATAGAGCCACCTAATACGCCTATTTATACTAGAGAATGAATTACATACAATTATCACAATCAATTCTTTAATGGTGGTAACATGCTCCATGAATCAAATCCCTGAAATCAAGGATTGTTGGTGAAGCTGAAGGCGAGTCAGTTGGAGGAGGTGTACTGCCATATTCCCCTTCCTTCAGAATTCTGGTAAGGTAAAGTCGCACTTCTTGTTTTACGTTTTTCTCTTCACTTGGATAATTGCTTCTTTAGTCCTTGCCTTCTCGATGGATGCATTTTGGTCCTCTGAATTTTCTTTTCTAACAAGCACCGCCTCCCGGAAGCCTACAATGATGCCATGGATGCTATCACATGGGCTAGAAAACAGGCCGTGTTTGTTAAAGGTGCTGATGCATGGATAAAGTCGGTTGATTTTTCTCGTGTTTTCTTATTGGGCAGTAGTACGGGAGGAAATATAGCCTACCATGCAGCCCTACGTGCACTTGATCTTAACCTTTCACCAATCAAGATCAAAGGGCTGATAATAAGTCAGGCTTATTTTGGTGGGGTCCACAGGACAGAATCAGAGATCAAGCTCAGCGAAGATGCTTATGTTCCTTTGTACGTAAATGATCTTTTATGGACCTTTGCATTGCCAAAGAATGCCAATAGAGATCATGTATTCTCTAATCCATTGATGATTGGTGGATCATCCTATGACCTTGGGAGGATCAAACGGCTGCCAAGAGTTATTTTGAAAGGTGATGATGGGGACCCACTTGTTGATATGGAGAAATTGTTGGTGAAACTTTTGAAGTCAAATGGAGTTCAAGTTTTTTCTATATTTAATGAAGGAGGGTATCATGGTATAGAGCTTGCAAATGCAACTGCACCTCAAGCTCAAGCTTTGTATGATGCTATGAAAAATTTCATCAAATCTACTAGATGAAATAAATGTTGTCCCATTTAAATTGATCGATCTTTTATTGCGTTATAGAGTTGAACACATATTGTCGTCTATTGTACTTTACTCATTTACGTTTTTTTGTATTGTTAATGTGTTTTATTCAATTTCTGATTTGTTTCGTGCTATGCAGAATTGGATGAGCTTTTTCTTTTCTAGATTGAGCTATATAAATATGACCCCTATCCCACAAGCCCTTCTCTTGATACATGAGATAAATACAATGACCAATTACAACATGTCCGTCGAGTTAAATGAATTTTTTTCTTAACTATTTTTTGGCCAATTTACTTTTCACAATGTTATTCATTAATCCTATACTTTCCACAACATTTATTATTAATTACTGAACTTTTGTGACATGACGAAAATTAACGGTAAATATTCGGTTATCCACATCATCCATTCCGTCTTTTTTTTTTAACCGTTGTTGATTGAGTGACGGGTAATGCAATGATTTGGTAAGTTGAGTAGTCAGTGAGACATTTTAAAATTCAGTGACCAACAATAAATAGTCATTCATGCATCAACTTCCAATTATCAAGAACGGCCGGCTAGAAATACTCTTTCTTGTGAACATTCTACCAAACTCCCACTGATTAGTCCTTCCATGGCTGTCCCAACCCAAAAACCTTCATCACCTCATCAAAAACTAGAGCAAATAGTAATTCTTGGCCTACCATCGTTCCTCAAAAGACAAGACAAAGAATTCTCTTCGAAATTCCAATTTCTGAGTCCGTCGGAATCCAATCTTCCGTTGGACCAATTCCTCGAGGCGGAGGCCCAAAACACTCAAGCCGCTGTCTGCTCCGCCGGATTTAAGATCTCCGCCGAAGTCCTCCACCATCTTCCTTCCCTTAGGCTGATCGTCACAGTCAGCGCCGGCCTCAACCATATAGATCTCTCCGAGTGCCGTAAACGTGGAATCTCCGTCGCAAATGCCGGCAACATCTACTCGGCCGACGTTGCGGACCTGGCGGTTGGGATGATCATTGATGTTATGAGAAAAATTAGTGCCGGCAATCGTTTCGTTAAAACTGGGCTCTGGCCTAAGCAAGGGAATTTTCCTCTTGGTTCTAAGGTACATATATTTGTCATGGAATTTTATTACTTCATACTTAGAGCCCATTTGGCAGGCTTTTGAAAATAATTAAAATAATTTTCTCAAAAAGTTATTTTTACAAGAAGCAGAAGGAAAAAATAGAATCTTGCCAAACATGCCCTTAGATTTATTTCAACTTTCAAGCATAGATCAATTTTACTTGGGGTTTTTATTTTATTATTTATGATTTTTTACATGCTTTTTAAACATGTCGGTACGTATTTACGTACGTACGTACGTACATATACATACATACATATATATGAAGCTATGTTTGATTTGTGATTAAATTATAATTTAATTGATTAAAAGTCGTGAATCATATGAAACGTGTGAATTTATGAGTTCTACTATATATAATAACTAATATATAGATGAATCATATGTTTGATCAGAAGTGATTATCTTTTAATCAATAAAAGACTATTGACGATTTCAGCTGGGTGGCAAGCAAGTTGGGATTGTTGGATTGGGAAGTATTGGTGTAGAAGTAGCAAAGAGGCTCGAAGCATTTGGTTGTAAAATATCGTACTACTCGAGGAAGAAGAAGCATTTTTCTTCTTATACATTTCATTCCAACATCCATGACCTGGCTTTCGCATCCGATATCCTTGTCATTTGTTGTGCATTGACCGAGCAAACCCGTCATATGATTAACAGAGAGGTTCTTTTGGCGCTCGGAAAGGAAGGGCTGATCGTTAATGTTGCACGCGGAGCAGTAATAGACGAGAAGGAATTGGTGCGGTGTTTGGTGCAACAAAAAATTGCAGGGGCAGGGTTGGATGTATTTGAACACGAACCTCATGTTCCTCGAGAGCTGTTTGGATTGGACAACGTAGTGGTATCGCCTCTGCTGTCTTAACAGATGTAGTGTCTAGGAATTCATATGAACTCGTGAGTGGAAATTTGGAAGCTTTCTTCTCAAATAGACCCCTGCTTTCTCCTGTTTTAGACGATGAATAGAGTCATCAACAGTTTTATGTTATGTCAACAGTTAGCTAAAAAGAGACGAGTGAATTGGTGCTGTGTTATCTGCTAAAGGGATTGAATTTGATATTGAACTATCTCGTCTAAAAGCTATTAAATGAGGCAAATTCATTTAAATTATTTTTCAACCCCAAACTTTGAGAGGTTGCTCAATTGGTCAGGCCTTAAGTTTACTCCCCAATAATCACCTGTTCGAGTCCTCTTAGGGCCACTGAGGTAAATACCCGACCGTAAACTTTTTGACCCCTTGAGATAGTCGAGGTGCGCTCAAACTGGCCCAAACATACATGATTATATAAATTAAAAAATTCATCTTTCAACCCCACATGCAGATCCAATTTTTATCTTATTGATATCAAAAGCATAGTATGTGTTGAATTTTTATAAACATATGGCAACTAGATTTGAACTTGGGGTCCTTTATGTTTAACGATTTTATCTAAAAGTTCAAATGTCCTTGAAAATGAGCTCCATGATTGCAAACTTTCTTCCTTTAATCATGATGACAAACATAAAATCAGTTGAACATGGCATGTGCATTCAAATTCAACTCTTTCAACTTGAGTAGGCTGAGATAAGAGTATGTCAATAATCAACATTACGAGATTTACATACATCGAAAAGAAAGACAGCTGCACAAACAATATAGAAATTGAGTGATTACAGGTATACAAGGCACGAGCTGCCGTAGCCAAGTTCCTAAGTAAATGATTGGATGATTGGATCTTCACGGAAAAATGAGCAAAATCCAAATGGACTATGAATGAATACCTTTAGTCAGATAAATGCCTTTGTGCACCTTGTGAAATGACGTAGCTTGCTAATGATTTATTGCTCAAGCAGAAGCCGAAAAATAGCATGCTTTCTTCTATATAATCGTTGTATTATTCACTTAGTTTGCAGCTGCGTATGTAAGGATGGTCAGACTTGACATACTTCGTCCAGTATTGCCTGTACTTCGTCATTGCTAACTCTAGCCAGGGTTTCATGTTTCCATTGTAATGTATAACAGTTGCATTCTCAATTTCTGATCGATCAACGCTTGGACTGTAACCCAACCCGAGCACATGCCACGACTTTTCAAGTGGATGTGTAAACCCATAAAAAGTCATTAAGCCCGGAGGGAGAGTTCCAAGCTTCCACAGAACCCTGCCTTCATTCTAATACCATGCAAAAAGAACGAAAAATGAACTCAGAATATTTGACAACTGTGTTTCCTCTTCTAATCCACAAACAATTTTTCAGTAACAAGTCACGCTGGCAAGTTTCCATGACAGTAGTCAGTAACATGAAAAAACCAGCACTCGCTATCTATTATTAGATTGTAATACTGAAATGTGAAGAATAACAACTTGTTGACAGCTTCCCAGCAAACTCACAAACCTCAACCCCCACCTCCACACAGTAGTTGAACTATGATATTATTGCTGCTAATGCATATTTTTTCACACAACACAATTAGAATACAAAGCAAAATCAACCAAAAAATGACGTACCATATTCTGCCATTTTTGGTATATTCCAGTTATATCCTTCTCTTTCCACACCTTGAGATCAAAAATGTTCATTCAATATGCCCACCCACAAGCATTGGGATCAAAGTTTGAAGAAATGTGAGGATTTGAAATTAAAATTAAGGTACTTGTCAAAACGATGAAAGCTCTCGCCACAGGTTTCAACTGCGCCGCTCACTTTTCCATGAAGATCTACTGACCACAAGCCTCTTAAGTCTTTCTGAACAACAATGTCATCATCAAGAAAAAGGATTTTATCCAACTTGGGATAAACCTGAGGGAGATAAAACCTGAGGTGATTGAGCATTGAGAGATACTTTGGGTTCCTGTACTTCAGGTTCGATGAACCAGCAGAAAGTGTGGTAGGATGAGCTGACTTGAAGTAGTACTCCTTCATGGCAGCAGACTCCAGCTGACGTAAAACAAGACAATAGGACGAGTTAAGCCACTTGAATTCTGTGGGGGTTAAACCACCGTTTTACACCAAGAAACCGGGCTCAGAAACCTCCAATCGAACACCACAAGAGAAAACTCAAAACACCCAATCCTCCACCAACGGTTGCTCCACAAGTTTTGTACTGCCCACACAGGAAGTTCTAATGGTGAAGAGAGTTTTGT